CCCCCTTTTCAGAAGAACCCTTCTTCCTTAAAAAATGAGGTGTACAGGATTCTTTTGAAAAAGGGGGGTTCTTTTAAAAAAAAACCTTCTGAACTGCTTTCATTTAAAAAAAAAAAAACACTTTCAGAAAAGCGATTGGAAGATATGCAAATTAGTGCCAAATTTGCATATCTCCTTTCTAAAAAAGATCATAGTCTAGCTGTACCCTTTATGACTTGCAAAAGAATAGTGTCTATTTACTATTAACTGCAGTAACAATTAGCACTTAAATAATAGATCTCAAGGAGCTTAGCAAAGGTGAGTAAAGGTTTGTAAATGGGGAAACTAACATATAGTGATTTGCCCAGAGCATCACTGTAAGTGGATGACAAAATTTGAATTAGAACCTAGATCTCTTGCCTTCCACTCTGATGCCTTATCAAGTTACTGGATTTGAATTGCATTTATTGACATGCTGTATTAATTGCAGGGGTGGGCAAATTCCAGCCTGCAGGCCAAATCCAGTCTGCAGGGTTAGTCCCTATATGGCCTCCACCTGCATCTTTATCTGTACTTCCTCAGGTATCAGAGGATTGCAGCTCCGATTGGCTGCAAATCACTGTTCGTGACCAATGTGAGTGGTCGGGAAGCAGCATCCTGGTCCTGCATTGGCCACGAATGAAAATCTGCAGAGGTGTAAGTAAATATAATAGCAGTGGCCCTCCAGGGACTAACTCTGTGGGCTGCCGTTTTTTTATTGCCCATCCTTGATTAATTGTATGTATCAAATGGGACATAGTAGATTAGCCTTACATAGCTAATGATATCTGCCACTGAGGATTTTGGTTGGTATTATTTTTTCGAAGAGAGATTTTTTTAAAATAAAAATCTGTGGAAAATGTTTTAAAAAGTAGTTTTTAAAAAGTTGGAAGTTAGGCTTTAAATAAGACTCTTGGTCACAGGCACCATAAATTTGTTGCAGGTCTCAGCCTTGTTTCCATTAAAAATACCAGCATTTTTTTACACAACCTTCTCCTGATTAAAAGTTATGTATTAAGTTTATGTATCAAGGAACACTTGTCAGGAATGAGGTGCACTGGCATGATTTTCCAGAAATGCTTTTAACGGAAAAGTTTTTTTGCGGAAAAAAAGCACTTTTTGTGGAAAAGTGTCTGTGGCCAATCTGGACGCGCTTTTCCGCAAAAAAGCCCCAATTGCCATTTTCACAATCGGGGCTTTTTTGCGGAAAACAAATCTCTGCTGTTACACTGGCCCTTTTGCGCAAAAGTTTTTCGGAAAAAGACTTTTGCCCAAATGGGAGCAGCATAGTATTTCCGCAAAAGCACTGACAATCTTACATGAGATCGTCAGTGCTTTTGCGGAAATTCAAGCGGCCAGTGTAGACAGCTGGCAAGTTTTTCTGTAAAAGCAGATGATTTTGCGGAAAAACTTGCCAGTCTAGACACAGCCCAAAAGATTAACTCTCAAGTATTACAAAAATATACAGAACAGGGATATGCTCATTTTTTATAATAAAACAGTTCATAGTAAATAAATGGAATGTGCCTTGATTCCACTGAAGAACATGCATAACTTTTTTTTACTTTTCAAATTCCCTCCTTTAAGTTTATCTCAAACATCAATTTGTTTTTATGTAGTAGTAAAAATAAGTGTAAGGCTCAGGGAGTTCATAGGTGTTGAACTTTGCTCTTTCAAATTAGAAAAATAAACTTTTACTCAAGTTTTTCATGAAGCTGCATGGGGGACAAGATAATGCATGCAAAATATTTAGTGATAGTTCTTGAAAAGCATGTTGAGTTTTACTTTGCTTTAGTTGAGACTTGTTTTGTTTAAATCTCAACTGTTCTAAGTGCTCTAAAATTCATGTGGTTACTCAGATTGCCTTGAAATTTGATGTGCCTCATGGGGGCAAGGGATATAGTCAGTAATCCAAGCCATTTCACAAAGGTGTTCCTGAGCTACAGCCCCTGGGAAAAACAGCTTTTCTGTAAGATTTATTAAAAAGCAATCCTATTCCAGTTTCATCCTATTTTTCTGCTTCATCTTGGTTCAGTCTTTCAACATTCACTCAATTAATGTCCATTTTCATGAGTGTACTTGCTTTGGTGATTTTGTCTTGTTTCTGCTGGTTCTATGAGAAGTAATCCCATTCCAGGAACATCCCATTTTCCTGGCACAACCAAATGCTTACGGTAATCAGAGCAAAAGTGTGACTTTCCTATTTTGTCATATTCAGATAGAATATTTAGATTGGAAGCAACACAATTCCACACAAATAAATTAGAGTTGAACTACTCTTAAATTATTAATGTAATGCACATGAATACTGCCTAAAAACTAAACAATATTTTAAAATCAGGAAACCAATATGTAATAACAGAACTTCAGAATTTTTTAAGATTTCTCAGTTTTCCAAATGAGTCAGCATTGTGTTCTTTCAGCATCTTGGTATAACAAAAATTACATAAAATTCATCGGTTGCTTCATTTTTATGGCAGCTTGAGAAATTCATGTTGTTCCTTACTTTTATTGTGCTGTCATTTACCACATATTGTCCTTATGTGCAAATATCTTATTACTCACTAAGCTGTATATCTCATGAAGTGTACTGTATCTAATGTCATAATTAAGTGTTGTCAGGATCAGGATAATGCATGAGTGTTTTGAGCTTTATCACTAATTGCTAAGTTAGGATGAATTACACAGTAAAGTAATTAGAAATCTAAAAGTATCTGTATCTTCTATTGCCCTTTCTAAACCACACAAGAGTGACTACCTTTTCTTTTCCCTACTGCTTCAGGGTCAGTACTAAAATAAAACTTGGAAGGTTAGTCCCCATAACAGCATCATCCATGATAAAATCCTGTTGTTCTTTTAAAAATACCATTTTCTGTAAACATGATAACTTTATGGTCTAAACTAGAATTAATACAAAACTGAATTGAGTTTAAAACAAGAGATATTTGTGTCCTCAAGATATCTGGCTTTAGCTTCAAAACTTTCCCAACATTTTCCACCGAAGGGAACATCCCTCTTCCTCCTTGTTTCTTTTTTCTCTTTAGTACCGAGGTATAGTTTTCTTTCTTCCAGGAACCTCTCAGTTAACAGCATGTATAAAATTAAATTAGGGTTAATTCTTTTTTAAGGTAACATCAGCTATGTCTGCACTAAGAGCACTGAAGAATTAATAACTGAACTAGTCGAATAGCATCAGCAGTAAATATCAGTTTGTCCACATTAGTCATGCTGTTTTGAATGCAGATTTGCTTTGCATCCAAACTGGCACTCTGCTTCTGGATATTTACCTCATAGTTCGTGGTACAGTTTGCGAAAGCAGTGGCATTTTCTGGAATCTCAGGGGACTTGTGGGAAGAGAATTTGAACTTTCAGAACTTTTTGGAAACTCCTGTCAATTCCCAGAAATCAGCTCTTTTCCAAGTTCTTTTCTCAAAATGGAAGCCAGCACTCTCACTTAGAAAGACAGTGCTTTTGAAAAGCAGCAGTGAGGCAGCTGCAATGTGTGACAGAGGGCATTGTGGCAGCACTTGCAGAGAGCCAGTGCCTGAGGCCAGCATCTCAGAGTTATTACTCCAGTGGTCACACACTTCACCCCCATAATAAAATGGATCTAGGCAGACTTGATGTTGGCCGGCTCCCTAGACAATAGCTATATCTTGCAGCTTTAATGGTATGTTAAACTTCTTACTACTTAAGTGGCAGTGACTAAATAATGCTGATGCATTTTCTTTTATAGAGCAAGAATATAGTCTACTGTTGTTTTGAATTTAATTCTTGCCACTTGAAGGGCTCGGAAGCTGAGGGAGTGAGTGTAAACGGCCACAGGGATGTATCTGTCCTCAGATAACTTTTATCTCTCAGAAGGATGATTACAGCATGCTTAATTTCTCAGACCATTTTACTTCTCTGCTGCCTGGTAGTGGGGAATCAGAATAAAAAAAGAGATTTTTCCTTCCTCCTCCCCCTATTATTTGAGTTGCAACGCAACCTATATGTACTTTTGCAGGCTACTACAGTCTAATACCTATTTTAACTCAATACTGACATTTTTATAAACAGACACATGGCTCTTCCAAGTAAGTGTTTCAGCCTCTCTCTTTCCTCCTCGGTTTTAGTTCTTGTCCCAGAATGACTAAAATAATCCAAGAAATTTCCCCACTTTTGAATTAGAAACAGGAGAATAAAGGAGACTCTCTGAAACACAGGTTGGCAATTTTGACAAGCGTTGTCAAACTCCCTCAACAATTATGAATTGTATTGTCTATTTAAAATCTTCAGACTTGCCCAGCCTTAAGCTTTTTAAAACTTTCCTGTCCATCTTTTCTGGAGTGAGATCCTGAATATCAGCAGGTTTGTTTAGACTAGGCTAAGAGGTCAAAGTTAGATCGCTGTTAGCTAACAAATGTTAGCTAATCCCAATTAACCTACTCCTTCTCATTAGCCTAGATACAGATTAATACATTTAACTTTCATCTTGAGCACTTTTCCTAGGCTACCTCTCTGCTGCCTGTAAAAAGTGTTGTGTATGAAAGTGCTGCACTGCAATTCACTCGATGGACATTACCAGGATGAATTTAAGAGTTCCTAGTTCGCATTAATATAATCTTGTTTAAAGAGGACGACATCAATGTGAACTAGGAGTTTTAAATCTTCACCAGCACTGTCACGAGAGAGGAATTCCAGATAATCTTTTTGGTGCACACTGCTATTCACATGCCCACAGTCCATACTGCAGGGCCGTAGAGAAGCCCCTAGTGTTGACTAACTCAGTGTGGAAGGGCTGGATCCACCTGACCACCAAAATAGAATAAGGACTTGTTTGAAAATGAGGTGGGTTTTGGAGAACGTATACTGTTATTTTTTCAGTTTAATATCCTGCTAGAATTAGAGTTACCTTGTTGCAGGTTCCCAAAAAGAGGACACTGCTGGAGGGCAGACGCCTGGATGTGTAAGAGCAAGGACCTGCACTGGACCAGTCAGATGAGAACCAATTAGGAACCAGATCAGTTGTTCCTCTTTCTATCTACTCCACACAAAAAAACACTGAACATTATCTCTTATTGGAAAAATCCTCCGGGACAGAGGGCAGAGGATCAAAAAAGAGACAATGTCTGGATGTATGTATGATCCCTCGCCCCCTCTCCCCGACTTTATGAAATTAACTTATGGATACCAATATGCATAACTTGAAGATGCTTTGGAAAAAATATCTCATGTAACCTATCCATTTTAATGTCTCAGTCTGCTGGATCTATACATCTTATTTTGGTGTATGTATTATTTTTGCATGTAAAGTTAGACGTACGGGGTATGGAATGGTTTATGGTTTTAAATGTGAAAATGAAAGCCATCAAGGGTGTTTCCTCAATGTCTGTCTGGGTAATCACCTGTAAACAGCCTCTCTTGTCCTTTGAGTCTAAGCAGTGGTTGGTCTTAGGAATACACGTGACCATCCCAACTTGTAGTGTCTGGCCAGGTAATTTTCCATAGAAAGTAGGGGAGAGAATTCCCATCCACCCCCCAAAATGTAATCTATAAAATAGTGGGAAGCTAGCAGTCTCTTGGTCTTTAGCTGGCATGTCACTCCCAAGAGAATGAACCAGGCTAAGTCTACACTACAGGGTTAGTTGTTTTTTGTGCAAAAACCCGCAGAGCGTCCACATCTCAAGTGCGTTTTTGCACAAGTAAATTTATAGTAAATCAAAAGAACAGAGGGGTTTTTGCAGTATAGGTATTCCTCTTTCTGTGAGGAATAACTCCTTTTTGTGCAAGAGTTCTTGTGCAAAAAGGTGTGTGTGGATAGGCAACAGGGAGTTTTTGCACAAAAAGAGCCAATCGAAAAAAACACAGTTGCTCTGGTGGCTATTCTGTGAATAGCAATCAGAGCTTTCTTTTGAGAGAGTGTCCATGAAGTCTGGATGCTCTCTTCTGCAAAAGCGCATTGCTTTTGCAATGCGCTTTTGCAGTGTGGGTGTGTTCTTGCACAAGAAGCTTTTGTGGAAGATCTCTTCTGCAAAAAGCTTCTTTCACAAGAAGCCTGCAGTGTAGACATAGCCCCAGAGACCCAAGGGCAAAAAGCAGAATTTCCCTGGCTTGGAGATTTAGCAGAAATAAGAAGATTTTTAGGGTAAGTTTGTTATAAGCTTCAATATGTTAGAACGAGCTATGCATTTTCTGTCATTTTAAATTTGTGATCTATTTTGCTCTGCCTGTTTTCACTTGCAGCCACTTAAATCCTACTGTTTGCACTTAATAAAATCATTTTTATTTACTGTCAAGCCCAGTGCAAATAATTGTTACCTGGGGGAGCAATCAGTGTGTACATCCTCCTTTCATTGTTAAAGGCAACTTACCTGAATGATTTATTTGGAGTTCTGATCCCATTTGGGGAGTCAGTTTTCTGGAAGCTGGGCCTGAAACTACATTCTCCTCAGACCTAAAAAGACTCAGTGTCTGTATTGCTCTTGGGGAGGGGGTGGTGATCTCAGCTTTGTGGCTTGGCTGGAGGAGACCAGAAGATCTGGCCCAGCAGAACAGGGTGGTGAGAAGCCCTAGAGAACAAGGAGGCAAGTGTCAGTGTTTTGTCAGCACTCTCAGAAGCACTGAAGTGCTGTGACTGCACCCTGTCACAGCATGGTAACCCGGCTATATGGAATGTACATGTGTGCAAGATGAGCCTGCCTCACTAACCTGGTGCCTTTAGGAAAAGTTATTATTCCAAGGCATATTTAACCTACACCTTTCCAGAAAGGGGGAAAAAATCATTGTTGCACTTTTTCTAGCCTCTTGTCAATTCAAGGAGCCGAAGCGGAAAGAAGTGCAGTATTGGGAGTGGGGTAACACAAGTATCACCAAATGTTGACTTTGGCCTGCAGACGTTTAATTATGGAGGACGAATCCAACTTCTTATAGATCTCAGAGTGAATTTGCAGAGCTCACGTTTAAGGGGGAAAACACAACTAACAACAACAAGCCCTTTTATAACATGTAAAGTGAGCCCACTTGAATGAATATGAATGAGAGAGACATATGGAACTCCATGCAGCATGCCATGTTTACAGAAGCACTTTTCAGAGTGGAACCACATTAAGTGTGAGTTTTCTGGAGAGTTCTTTTAAAATGTAATTAGTTGTTTAATATTGCAATTAGTTTCTTGATGGCATGTGTTTGATATGCAAGATTTCAGGTAACTTATTCTATGGTGTTTGCTTTTTATCAAGAATTAGTTGGTAATTACAAAGTATATTTCATTGTCAAATAATTCCTAGGATTCCTTACTATGATGTCAAAGATACAAAATCATGCAGGATATTTTTAATACAAGCTTTTATTTAAAAAAAAACCTAAAAATTTAGATACAAAATCATAAAATTAAAAAAAAAATGTGCAGCCCCAAAGTTCTTGGCCTCTTGTTATTCCAAACCTTTCGGGTGAAAAGCATCTCTGAACAGAGGCTCAGCACAAAGCCTGTGTAGCACTGATATGTCATTTAACACCCCAAAATAAGGAATATATGGGAATTCAGTGTGATATTGGCCTAAGACAGGGATGGGCAATAATTTTTGACCGGGAGTCACCTTGAAAAGGGTGGGGCCTCATGCGGAAGGGGAAGGACCAGGGCACTTCTGTACTTCCCCCACCCACAGACCCTGATTGCTCTGGAGGTGCGGGAGCGCATGAAGTCTTTGCCCCCACCTCTCCCCCAGGAAGAACCATCAGCTGTTTTGAACAGCTGGCGGTTCTCTCTAGGTGTGTCTGTCCCTGGCTGTGAGAGGAGACTTTGCACACTCCCCCCTGCATACTCGCCAATCAGGCCAAGTCTCCTCCCGCCCTGCTCCTGTCCTGCAAGGAGCGTGCAGCGGTTAGGAGCGCCTCGCTCATTTCAAGGTGGGAGGAGACTTTGCACGCTCCCTCCGCCCCCAAGCCAATCAGAGCCTGGGGATAGGAGAGTGCACAAAGTCTCTCACTCCCTGCCTTTGAGCGTACAGCGCTTAGTCAACTGCCAGGGTTGACTCTAAGCGCCGCACGCTCCCTGGTCTCTAGGCCCTGATTGGCCTGGGGTTGGGGAAGCGGCAGGGCCTCTGCAGGCTGGATCAACCTGCTTGGCAGGCCGAACCCGGCCTGTGAAGGCCCTTTTGCCCACCTCTGCCTTCACCTGACACTCTGCTCTTCGGGAGTGAATATAATCATTAAAGAGCATAAAGCCCGTATTATGGAATAGGTTAGCTTAATGATTATTCAAAACCAGTCTTACTTTCCAGTGTTTTGAGTCTTATGTTTTGTGATCATATGGTGAATAAATTGATCCTAAATATAGCATCAATTAAAAGTTCCAACATAAAATTAAATTTACAAATAGCTTGAAAAAATGGAACAAATGAATAGTAAAATAACAAGCCTTGATTATTTTCTTTCTTCAGATCCTGATGTTTTCCATACAACAACAACCTTTTCTGCATTTTTGATTATGGAGAGACACTAGCAATTTCTGACCTTGTCTGAGGTAATATTTGATTAATCTTCTTTTCTTATCAAGGCTTTTAAAAAAGGTTGGCATGATTGAATGTAGTACATTAATATAAGAATGTAATGTAAATTAAGTTCTTCATGGTGCAGGGTGTGTTCTTTCATTCTTGTCCCTATGAATTGATGCGTTTTTAACCCTATACATGTTTTTTTTCCCTCATTTTAAATTATTTTATGATAGCTAAAGAGATTTAATCTACTCCTGGAATTTAAAAGAAGTTTTCACATGACTTATGGGCCATTTGGGCTCAATTGAATTTAATAGGTTTCAGCTGCATCTCCACAATGGCTTTGAACAAGGAAGTGAGAGGAGGGTCTATATAGGCCTTAATTGCTCAAGTTTAGCTTCTTTTGAAGAAGCTGCTTGGTGGAGGGTGTTGGGTATTAACATATATATTCTTTGAATTTCTGAGGATAGAGAATCTGCCACTTGATAAGTGGGAACTAGAATTAAATAGCTCAAGGACATGACTTGACAGTTAAAATGGTTAATCTGTACTTGTCGATGCTAAAGGAGTGAGTTTTCAAAATTAAAGGAACCAGCTGGGTTGGCTAGACCAAATTTTCAGTTCTCTAGAGAAAGGAAAGGAGAACTGAACTGAACTGAAGAGATAAATACACCTCACAACAAAAGACAGTTCTGTGGGTTCGCAATGGTTGATAAAGCAGTTGGACTGTGACTTCTAAGAATATTTGCAGTGATATTGTAGCCATGTTGATCCTGGGATATTAGAGAGACAAGGTGGGTGTGAGGTAAAATATTTTATTGGACCAACTTCTGTTTGTTGAGAGAGAAGCTTTTGAGCTTACACAGATCTCTTCTCAGAAGTAGAAGTGGCAATTCCACTTCTCAGGAGAGTTCTGTGTAAACTCAAAGTTTTCTCTTGACAACAGAGTTGGTCCAATAAAAGATGTTATCAATCTCACCCACCTTGCTTTTATAGAATGGTAGTTTGTTTCTTCTTCTTCTCTCCAAAAGTTACCAACAGAATGATCAAAACTATTAGATAGTTCTTACAAAAGCATCAAGGAGTTTAGTGGTACTTTAAAGACTAACAAATTTGTTAGGGTATTAGGGCATAAGCATTTGTGAGCTACAACTCACTTCCTCAGATGCTGAAAAGAAAAAAAGATGCAGAGATGGATTAAAGATGCATTTAAGTAATGTAGTTTTCAATTTTCTTTTCCTGATTCCTATTGAATGTTGCATTATAGTTGCTATTGAATTCACAAATACTTTATCTAACTTCATATTCACAAGTGGGTCCTCTTGGAAGTATATTACTGAACAGAAAAACATCCCTATGCAAAGAAAATTGTTTTGATAGCACTAGCTGGACAGTTACGAGAACACATGAAAAACAAACTCAAGAACATATTAGAACTCTCTTCTCATCTGTGGTGAGCCAGGGAGATTGTACTACCAGATGGTAACCACTGATATACTCTGCAGCGTGATACTGCATAATATTGAGGCCCCTAACAAATAGATCCACAATGCTAATTTTACAAAATGATAACAAAAAGCCCAACAATGATTATGTTCAATACTAAGGGGCAAATGTCTGCTATCACCCTTGCAGGGCAAAGCTCAGACAAGCTCTCAAGAAACGTAACATAAATATTTTAGGGCAGGGGTGGGGAGCCTCTAGCTTGCTTCTTGACGCTCCCATTGGCTGTGAATAGCAAATCTTGGCCATTGGGAGCTGCAGGGCCCAGTTTATGCTCATGTTTATGCTCAGGTAAACAAACCATCTGGCAGCCTGGCCAATGGCTAACCCTGAAGAACCACATATGGCCAGGCTGCCAGATGGTTTGTTTACCTGAGCATAAACATGAGCATAAACCGAGCCCTGCAGCTCTAAACTGCATAGGCGCACAGCCCCTCAGCTGCTCAATTAGACCCGCCTAGCTAGGGGCTCAGGACCCATGCACGGAGCTGCCTGGCTGTGGGAAGAGGCATTTCTCCGCCAGCAACAGCAGCAGCTCCCTACTGAGGATAGAGCAGCGAGTGTCTCCCACCTGTAGGGACACATCCCCTAGTTACCTACGGGGCTGTGCTGCTGCTTAGCTTAGAGGGAATGCTGGTGGCTAGTACGCCCGAGGTTCCCTACCCATTTTAGAGTCTGAAATGCATAGTTGGGAATTTAAAGATTTTTCTCAATACTGACTACCTTTTTAGATCAAATTCATTTTGGAGCTAATGGATTCCCAAAAGGAAACATGGTTTGCCAAAGATGAGCATTTTAAGTACAGTATGTTTATGTGCTAGGTAATGATGAGCTCCTTAAATCAAGCACCAAGGCTTGAGTGAGGAGAACTGTAAGCTTTAATGAGCATGGCTCCACTGATTATGCATGCTATGAGAATACTCATATTCCACTACTAATACAGTACCACAGCATGTACTAGGGTAAAATTCATGGTGTATTTTTTGTGGGGAAAAACTCTTTGATTGATTTTCAAGTTTTGATTGGAAATCTGGAGGCAAAAATCTCAGAACATTACATCATTACAAAAGTGTCTTCTATCCTGGCACTGGCTAGTTCATGTGAAAGTTAACTTACATTTTTATATCATAAAATGTACCTGTTGCAACCTCTGGACATAATTATAAGAATAGAATTATTTTTCCATTTTGGGGAATGGTATTTGGCCTGAATACCACATATTTTTACAGACCTCCAATGTGAAGGTCTCCAAATGAACATTTGCATGGAAGAACACTATGGACGTAGAACAATATCTGGATTTCAGTTCTATAGAAAATAATGTTTTTGGCAGAGTGAAATGTGAGTCTATTCCTGTCAGTTTCAAGCTACAAAATGTACTCCATTCCCACACAGACCAGGTAATTGATTTCTGTGGGCAAAGTGCTGAGAAGGAAGGGATGCTACTAAATACAGTCTCCAACTGATATACAGGAGTCCCCTGACTTTATACAGTTTCCTCCTGACCCATGCTCTTGTGTAGTGTGTGTGGGCCACAGATTCCCATAAGTATGAATGGTCCTTCCCCTGCCTCTTTGCAGAGCTTTTTCGCGGACAGTTTTGTCAATGATAAAAAAGCACTTGTTTGTGTTGACATTGTTTTCCACAGTTGTCAGGACATAGTTACATATGCGCAGTGCTTGTGTCATTCAGGGACATAAAGCAAATCATTATTGTGGCAGAAGTGGATGTGCGTGTGACCGGTGTCAGATGCAACCAGTCACAGGCGAGGATGGGGGACACCCGGAGCTCATCTCTTGCCTCTCTTCTTGACTCTGCACAGCACATTCTCTCTGCTGGCCTCTGTTCGCAGTGTGAGAGGCAGCAGGAGCATTCCACAATAATGATTTGTCTCCCAGTACAGTGACAGCACTGGCCCTCAGAACAGAGCATAAGGGGAGGAGCATATACCTGAAGACAGGACTGTTGAATTTCAAAGAGCAGCCACTTCTGCTCTGCATTGTGAGATAGCTCTGGAGGGCAGTTAGACCGATAAAAGCAAATAAGAGTCTTCACTGCTACATCGGTGGAAAAAGACTCTCATTGGGGTGTGTGACGGGGCGGACAGGCCCCGCACTGATGAGCAGGGGATAGCCCAGGCCCAGCTGGCAGAGAAGGCCCCGCCCCTCCGACCCTGCTGGGCATGCTCCCAACAGCGGCCGGGTATAAAGGCAGAAGGAGCCCGGCAGTCAGAGAGGCCACAGGGTGAAGGAGGAGACCAGGCCGGGCCAGTGTTCTTGCAGCCGCTGGGACCAGAGTCGCCGCCCGCGCTGGACCTGGCCCCGGGGGCCCCAGCCGCTGACCCAGGGCGGCAAGAGCGCGCCCACAACCCCGACAGGTCCTGCCTGAGAGGCGAAGGAGCCCGGGGGCAACCAGGGCGTGGTAGGCAGCAGCCCAGGGCAAGGGAGACAAAGTTTGGCTCGGCCTGTATCGGCCGGATCCCCCGCCGAGCCGGCAGGAGCCATAGACCCTGCCTAAAGGGCCCTGGGCTGGGACCCGGGGGAGAGGGGAGGCCCCGGCCCTTCCCTGGGCCAGGAGAGGCTTCTCAGAGCGGCTAGGCCTCTCATACTGTATATGCCCTGATAGAAGGGCCGGGACTTTTGCATTGAGACTTTGGGGTGCTGTACAGGCCCGGTCGGAGGGGGCCGAGCCCCTTGACGGGGGCGTACCCCCTGACAGGGTGGTTTTATTTTCGTACTGAAATTGCAGCTTCCCCATCCTGACTTTCCGTGTTAGCTCCTCAAACAGCTCTAAGGTGGTATTTAAGATGGTTCAAAAGGTCTTGTGTCTGCCCTCTCTTCATGAACAAAATTCAGTGAGGTGAGATGAGCTTGCCAACCCTTCTGTTATGACCAATAATCTCTTGTGAAAATTACACCCCAGGAATTGCTGTTAACGTTTGTCCAGTTGGGTTGCAAATTTGAATGGAATGGAATGATGAAACACCCTGAGTGGTTTTGACTGCAGGTGGAGGCTACCGCTACATTTTCAGTCAGAAAAGACTTGACAGTGACTAACTCTTTTGATAGTGATAGAAATGTAGCTGTGTTAGTCTGGTGTAGCTGAAACAAAATACAGGACTATGTAGCACTTTAAAGACTAATAATATCATCTAATAAACCATCTTGTTAGTCTTTAAAGTGCTACGTAGTCCTGTATTTTGTTTTAACTCTTTTGATATCCATTTAAATTGTTCCTGTAATATCTTAAGGGTGTGAGGAAGATGGCAGATATTAGAAGACCTACAACATAATGTCCTTTTTTTGTTTAACATCAACGTTATTTACAGTGTATCTTGTGAGTTTATTCATACTGTTGCTTTCATGGGTTTGGCCACTGATTAGCACAAACCACTTTTCAGAAGAGGATAAAAAAGAGCTTGTATCCTTTTTAAGGTTATAATGGTAAGAAAAATGAGGCTTACTTATGCCCCTTTCAAATAAGACCTTGTGGAGGCACTATAATAAGTCATTTGTTCTCTTTAAAT